TTTCTTTAATTCTTCTATTTTAATTTTTTGACCTTCTAGTTGTTGTTGCATTAGTATGATTTGGTTGTTAAGATCTATTATTGATCGTTTCTTTTGCTGAATTTTCAATCAATTAAGCTCTAAAAGCCTTTTAGTCTTATTAAGTTCAACAATTAGATCAGTATAATTAATGGATGCAGTTACATTACTTTTATTAATGTCTAATCAAAGTCTTTTATTTTCTTGTGTAAAAGTTATAAGATTTTGGTAAAATTGATTAGTAATGATCTGATTATAATGTCTCTCACAAATTAAATAAGAATTTAAAGAAGAATAAAGGTTAAAAAGTTTAGAAAGATAATTATAATAAATTGTGAGTCGCTTAGCTATTTTCTGATTACTAGTATTCTATTATTTTTGTGATCCTTTTGTTTCACATGATTTTAATCCAACTTCACTGTACTTTTTAACTAATTCTACAAAGAGGTATGAAAGATCTTTTGCTTTAGTTTTAAATAGAAAAATATTAAAAAGTTATTTAAAGTATTTACCATTAATAAGATTATATTTTATTTTATAATGATCTTAAAGTTTTATGTCACATTTACTTTTTTGAAAATTATTGACTGTAAGAGATTATTTGTGATTATGAGAACTAGAGATCTTTTATTAACTATTTATATAGTTTATGGTAATGAATATATGTCATGAAAATTTACTAAGAATTTGAATGTAAAAAGTTAGTGAGAGCTAATCAAATTTCAAGGATTTTTACAAAACATTTTAGAATTGATTTCTAAATTTGGTAATACCTCTAACTGTAATAAATAATAATATGAAATTACAAATTATTGCACAGGCATTAATAAATTGTAAAATGAAAAATACATATATATGAGTTTTGTAATATATAATAAATACAATAGAAATTATATTAAAAGTATTTATAATAGATATTGATTCTGGTATAGAACTAACTATTTAATTAAAGTATCCTTTTATATTTTTAATTTATTATATCTTGCAATTAAACAAAATCTACATTTATATCTTAATTCAAAACTTAATGGATTATTTAACTAATTTAAAAAAGATTTTTATGAATGTAGAAATAGCTTAGAAAAAGAAGTATTTGAGCATTGTTAGAGAAATTTACTTGTTAATTATTAAATGCAATTAATTATCTTAAAAGAACTCTTTATCCATTTAAATATTCTTAAGTACAAGCATTTAATACTACTATATTTACAATAAATATTTAAATAATATCATATGGGGGTGATCAAAAGAAAGAGAAAATCTACAAATTTTGAGTAATTTTGGTTATTAAGCTAGTTTTGTTCACATGACTATGATCAGCAGAGTGAATTAATAAAAAAATTTTTAACTAAAAAGTGGATTTCCCTTTTTTTTACTAATTGTTCTTATATTGTAATCTATTAATACTATCTTTAAACATTTTTATATAATTCAAATAATACATTTGTAGATATTTTTTTTATAATTGAAGATTGATTAAAAGAAGAATAAGATAATATTAATTATTTAAATTGGTAAAATTTTCTTTCAACAATTCATTTAATATAATAGTTTCTAATATCTTTGCTAATATAATTAATGAATTTAAAACTATTTTAATTTGAAAATAATCTACTATATTTTATGATTAGTATTCAAAAACTATTAAGTCGATTGACTTAACTCAAATAAGAATTTTACAACTTTTTTAATTCAAAAAATTTACATTATTAAAATAAAATTAGCATTTAGTTATGGTGTGAAAACTTTTAGATCAATCTTGGATTAATGATAAAAATTCTTAAGTAATATTAAAAATTTTTTACATGTTATAACTTATAAATTCAATATTAATAATTACATTATTTTTTTTTTAGAACTGGTCATTTACTAATGATTTTATTGAAAAATAAGAAGTACAACAACTTTTTTTTCAACAACTTTTGCTATCATGTGATCAAAATGAAATCAAATCTTTTTAAGATACTAGCTATTTAACTTTTTCAGAAATATATCACTTAGTCATTTTATTGGATAATAGAATATACAAATGTTTATGCATATCCTTAATTAACCATAGTATTATTTGTAAGCTTTATTTTTGTATAATGCTATGAACATCTCAAGCTTAATTTCATATTGCATTTCTTAATTCATGATGGTTTATTACAACTCCTTCAGATCTTAAGAGTCGCTTATTCTATCCTACTTTAAAGTTTGAAATAAATATGACTATTCCATTTGAAAATCCTTCCAATTTTTTTAATTCAACAAATATTAATCCTATCAACAACCTATATATTACAATTAGTAAACAAAAATTGTATTATATGAATATTCAAGATTTATTTAAGCAAGCAAGTCAAATTGCTTGCAAATCTGTGATGAATCTTTTGTTACATCACTTGAGAAATATATTACTAAAAAAACTGTGAAGCATTGGAGTTTACACTATTTGAATCATTAGGTAATCAAAATATAATTAATCTAAAGTCTGATCAGAAAAATGCCAACCAACTTGGGAATCCTATAATTAGAAGTCCAAAGGGAAGACATCATGGAGTTACAAGATACAGGAATCCTTTAAAAGAATTTAAATCCAATGAATATACTGGTGGGAGTAAAAATCAACAAAACAAATGCGGTTTATGTAATAACATAGGGCACAATCATACAACTTGTCCAATAAAAAATCATCATCATAATTAATCTCTAATAACTACTGTAATTCAAGCCGCCGATGGCGTCTTGAATTACAGTAGTGATTTGAGCCCGGCTTCCTGCTTATATCTTTTAACAGTATATTTAGGATTTCTTTAATATTTTATTAACATGCATTTTTATTATTTCAAAATTTTTATTGTAAAAAAAAACTTTATTTTTATATAATAAAAGGGATGCACACAAAAAAAAAATATGCATTGTTTTATTTTTAGAAAAGTTTATTTAAATTTTTACCAATGCGTAAAATATTCAAAATTTGAAAATTTTATATATAATATATGCACCCTGTAATTTACGCAGGTGCGTAGAAAATAAATACCCATTCCTTTGCCTTTAACTTTTGAGCTCGTATCTCACGTCTTAATTGAACAAATTTCTTTCCATTAAAAATCCCAAACTTTAACAAATTAAATAACTTGTATTTTAGCAACATTATAGAAAAATAATAAGAACACACACACAATAACTTAAAGAATAAGTTTACTTTTTTGAAAAGCCTCCCCAAAAAATCGCTTTCCTTATAAAAAAGTATTATTTATTATTTTTGAGATGCGAAATTTTTTTTTTTTTTTTGAAAAAGCGAACTGTCATATGAAAGAAACAGTCTTCTTTCAGAAATAACGAGTTCAAAATTTTGAAAAAATATATATATATATATATCGATTTTATTATACAACGATTTAAAAAAAAAACAGTCCGGTTTATTATAAAATTTTTTTTGAAAAAAATCGTTTTATCAAAATTTATAAATTTGATATATCGATTTTTATGTTTTAATATAGATCAAAAAATTTAAAATAATCGGTTAAACGAGAATTTATTAAGTTAGGCCACGCGCAATTTTTAAAATTTTTATGTTACGTGAACCGAAAATGCGGACTTTATCGTTATACAGTTGCGATCAAAGAAATGCATCACCTGAATTTTTAGCGTTTAATGATTTAATGTTTAAGATTCCGACAATCATGAATTAAACATTTTTTAGAGTAGCTACGATAAAACTAATTCAAATGTTAGTTAATTTATTTTGAAAGTCTACATATAAAATTTCATAAAGATTATAAAGATTGGATCGCTGGTTGTGGATAAATTAGCTTTCAAAGGTAGAAAAAACACATTTTACTATTTAAATTGATAATTCCTCCACAACCAGTGATCCAATCTTTATGAAATTTTGTACGTGTGCTCTTCCAAAGTAGATTGATTAACTTTAGAGTTGGTTTCATCATAGCCACTCTAAAAGAAGTTTTATCCACGATTGAAATTTTACTAAGTGCTAGTTGCGAAATCTGTATGATAATTTACGTTAAATGATTGATGATCTATATTTTCGGAATCTCAAACATTCAAATAAGTATAAGAATTTCTATTCTAAAATTCATATTTAAGGAGATAAATCATTAAAACGTTAAAAATTCAAGTGATGCATTTCTTTTGATCGCCACTGGTATTTCTAACTGATAATTTACTATACGACATAGTTTTGTTATATGATAGACACCCATTGTTACATAAAATAAAAAAATTTCAAATATTAATGATAGTATGAGATGATTTGATGATTTTCTTATTTGCCAAATCGTATAGATCTTTTTTATAAGAAAAAAAAATGATGTCCCAAAATAATAAATAAAATAATGACGTTGTTTAACAATAACTAAATGATTGCCTTATTACCTTATTTATAAATGTTCTATTTTACCTAAATAACTGTAACTTTTCGCGACATTTCTGAAGATTGACAATTAGCAAGAAAGTGAAAGAAAAAGGTGAGAACAAATCGGATTTATTTATTTATTTATTAATTTTTTTCTTTTTGCTAATTACCGTTACCTATTTATAATGAAATAATTTGAGAAATATGATTTAGGTTCGAAATTATTGCGGAACTTAGTTTTATGTGTTGGAGAGTAATTCAGCATGCGCCGACACGTCTGTGAAGCAAATTTTATAAAATTGTTGTTTAGTATCTTTTATTAGCAGGGACACAGCCTTTTAATGTTCGAGAATTTTTTTTTTTTTTTGTTTTCAAGTACTACAATTTTTTTTATAAAACAAAAAAGAACAATATTGTGCACCTCATACGCTTATCGGATGTGCACCTTATTTTACTACATATATTATATATATCAAAGTGTATCTAATTGACTTTTTTTTTGGTTAGACGCTAAATGAAATAGGGAAGCAAATTTTGTATAAAATGATAATTTCGAAATGTGAAGTTTTGCAACGAGAAATTATTCAATCACCAAACATTAAATTTTCTTTAACAGTTTCAAATGGCTTCTCATCGCCCATTAATTTTTCCCCTTATAATAATATGTTTTCTTACTGTTACATTTTTTTATCTAGAATACAATAGTTTAGAAGATAATAGTAACGCTTTAACTTCAAAAAAAGAACCCATATTGTTCTCCTCCTCAGATGCAAATAACGCTTCACAATTAAATTCAACAACTTTTAAAAAGGTTTCAAAACAAACACCAAAAAAATCAACATCGAGACCTAAACAGTATGGGCCAATCCCATTCCGAGAGAAGATGGAATGTGACGGTTATCATGAAAAAAAAGGAATTTCTTTCCAACAATTATGGAATTGGCCACCAGTTCGTGTCTTTATCGGCATATGGACGGTGGCGGATAGGTTTGAAATTCGAAATCTTATACGAACTTTAAATTTTAAACAGAAACAAAGTTTAATTTTAGATAAGGTGGATTTCAAATTTATTCTTGGAATACCTCCTCCAGATGATTATACACCCGAATTAAAATCTCTATTAACTATCGAAAATAACACTTATGGTGACCTTATAATGCTGGATATTGAAGAGAACATGAACAATGGCAAGGCGTATTTTTATTGGAAGTGGGTCGCTGGGTACACTGACACGCAATACAATTACGTTGTAAAGGCAGATGACGATGCATTCGTTCACTTTCAAAATTTGGCTCTCAACCTTCGACCATTGCCACGAGAACATTTGTATTACGGATTAGAAAGTCCTGATCACTTCATCTTTGGAGAACTCGAGGTTCTATCTGTAGATCATGCCCGCATGATCGCCTCTTCTCCATACAACCAAACAGAATGGAATGGGAACGAGGATCGATTTTTGGGATACTGGTTGATGAATCACGCAAATTCAACTCTTATTCGAATTCCAGAAAATTGTTTAATTTTTAATGACCCAAGAATTAAAAGACGGTTTTGTTGGAGACCATGGGCATCACCAAACTCTATCGTCATTCATCGACTAAAAGAAATACCTGCATGGAAAAGTGTCATTGATCTATACTTTCCTGATTGAAAAAACTTAACATAGACTGGGTTTTTTAATTTAGACTTGTAACTTAATTTAGAAATTCTACATCTGTATATATTTATTATTAGTCCGGAACGAAGTGAATGACTATATATTTCTATGCAAAGTGTCCCGATGTCCACCCGCTCAAAAATTGAGTCGATGCTGATTGGCTTTTTCAATATATATTTTTTTTTAGTTAAGATCGTTCCGGACTTAACAACGGTCCGTTCCCTAGTATTTACACGTGCATTAACATACTGTTTATATAGTAAAATTTTTTTGTTTCACTAAAACTACATGACTTCTATTCAGATCTATCAGCCTTAATTTAAAAACATATTCAAGAATCATAAATATTACTAAAATCAAAATTTCTAAAGAAAAAGAAGAAATTATTATAAAAAAAAGATTTGAAAAGAACATTATTATATTCTTGAGCTAGTTATTCTAAGTTAAAAGAATAATGTAAAAGATAAAATTTAATTAATAAAGAACGAAATTGAAAATTTCAACAATGTTTTAATATTATACTTCTTTTAATAATTCTAATGGTTTATGGTATAGAATTAATATAAATCTTATTAATAATCATCAAATAATTAATATACAATTTTAAAAAAGTTTGATGTTTATATTATATGGGTATATAATGATATTTATAATTTACCTATCAATTAGAAGGCTTTAATTCAGAAAAAAAAAATTTGATACTGAAAAATTTATAAAAATATTAAATAACTTAAAGATAATGTGGAATTCTTTTATTATACTAATATTAATAATATAACAAAAAGCTTGAAATAAATAATATAGACGTTTTTGAATAACAAATAAATTATAAAAGATTTAATGATATAAAACCTTTGCAATAAAAAAGAGGAAAACAGTTAGAAAAAATAAAATTGAGTTAATGCTAAATCTGAATATATTTTAATCTAAAAATCATATTTAGCATATAAAAGTAAAATTGATTTTTTCTGATTGTTTCCTTTTATATTGCAAAGATTTCATACTATAGTATTCAAAGCTGCTAGCCAAAATTATAAATCCTGAAATTTCAGAATTTTGAAATTAATTTTAGTAGTTTTAGAGATGAAATAATATTTTAACTGTAATTTAAAATAAGTTTTGACATTTCAAAAGTATATTTATTAATAGATTATATAGTTTGAAGTTATAGAAGATAAATTAATAGTTAATTAAATAGGTTTCAGCATTTAATTTTAATTAATTGTTTTAAAATTATATGATTTTCTTTAGAAATATAATATAATTATTTTTATTATAAAAATAATATTATTTAAAATTATTTATTTTTTTTAATCTTTTTTTTTTATTTATTTTATTTATCAAAAAAGGTAAATATTCTTTAAAATACTTTATTTTAAAAAAGTATCTTTTTATCAAAAATTTTGTAAATTACTAATTTATAAACTTTAAAAATCAATTCTATTAAAAGTAACTTAAATTGATTGATAAAAAGATAAGAATTAATAATAAGAAAATAATATATTTATATCATAGTTATTATATAAGAAAAAATATTTAAAAAGTTATTTTAGTATATAAAAAAAAATATTAGTAAAAAAAGAAAATCTGCTATAAAAAAATTCTTAAAGAATTTAAAAAAAACTTATCTTCTTATTTAAAAAAAAATAAAAAATCCATTTTTAAAAAAATTAAATCTATTTTCTAAAAAATCTTAAAAATTTTAAAGCAAGCTATTAAAAGATCTGCTTTTAAAAAAAAATAAAATCTACCCTTTAAAAAAATCTCAAAAATTCTTAATAAAAAAAAAGATATAAAAGATCTGTTCCTAAAAAAATGAAATCTATTTTTAAAGAAATCTTATAAAAGATATACTTTTAAAAAAAAATTAATAAAAAATGAAATTTATTCTTAAAAAAAAAATCTTAAAAAAACTTATCTCTTATTTAAAGAAAAAAGAATCTATTTATAAAAAAATTTATAAAAAAAGATAAAATTTATTTTTAAAAAATTTAAAGAAGTCTTACTTTAAATTAAAAAAAAATGAAGATTTACTTCTAAAAAAAATTAATAAAATTAGAAAATGAAAACTATTATTAAGTTTAGAATAATCTACTAGTATTTACTTTTCTAAATTTTTATGTAATTGCAAAGACCAATTATTATTAACTTAATTATAAGTGAGTAGACAGATAAATATATAGGCTCTTTGCAATAAAAAGGGAGAAAACTACTAAAAAAATTTTTTTTGAGTCAATGTTAAATTTAAACTTATTTTATTAAAAAAATAATATTTAGCTTATAAAACAAAAAAAAATTTTTTTAGTAGTTTCCTTTCTTTCTATTGCAAAAAGCCTATATATATAACTTTAAACTCTATATATATAGTCTTTTACTTTATTTTAGATTAATTAGTAAAAAAAAAATAAAATTTACCTTCTAAAAATATTTTAAAAATTTCAAAAAAGACTTATTTTTTTATCTAAGAAGAATAAAAGATCTACTTCTAAAAAAGATAAGAAAAATAGAAGTAAAAAAAAAAACTTTTAAAGAATCTTTTAAAAAAAAATTATTCAGAACTTTTAAACATGAATATTTTTATTATAATTAAATAAGTAATAAAATAAAATAAATAAAAAAAATTAGTTAACTAAAATGATTGATAATTAAAATGATTTTTAATATTTGAAATTTAATTTATATATATTAAATCAAAATATAATAATAAATTTTTATTTTTATTTAATTTAAATAGAATGAAAAAAAAATTAAACTAATAAAATTTACTTTTTTTTAATTAGTCATATATATTATATAATTTTAAAAGTTTATTAAATCACAAATTTTAATTAATAGATTTTATAAATATATATAAGTAAGTATTTGTAAAAGGTTAAGAATATTATATTTATGATAAATATAATATTTTTCATAAAATTTTTATTATAATAAAATATGAAATAAATTCTAATTGATCTTAATAATTAAAGTTAAATTTAAGATAAATTTAATTAATATTTACATAAAAATTAATTAATTTTACTTATCTTATAATTTTATTTACAATTTACTAATTGTTCTTGAAGTTTTTAAATATCATTATTATAAGTCATGATACTTTTTTTGTTATGACTAATATCTAAGATAATTATCTATTTAGGTAGTCTTTTTTAAGAATTGGTTACTACTACTCTTTTTAGTATAATTTTCAATTTAAACTAATATATTATTAATAATATAAATAAAATAAATAAATAATATACTTTGAAAAGTGTATTTAAACTTTTTCTGAATCATTTATTAACATTAATTTCTCTCTTATAAATTTTTATTTTGAAGTATATTTCTTATTATCAAAATAATAAGCATAGATTTATTTTAAATATCATGAATTTTCTGATTTTTATAAATGCTTGGATTCTAATATAGATTAATACTTTTATATATTACTTTTATTTTACTTTTTTATTTAATATTAATTAAAAAATAATAAACTGAATCACCTTTTTTTAATAATATTTTATTTTTATTAATAGGTTACTTTGATGATATTGATAGTTTAGATTTAACTTTTTCTAATAAAATAGCTAATTTCTATTTTAAAGAATTTGAAATTTAATGAAATATGTAAGATAATTATTAAAATAATCTATCATTTTATACATATATCTAATTTATACTTTTATTAATTTTAAATCTGAAATTATAGATTTAATAGCATACTGAATCTTATAAATCATATATCCTCTTCTATTTTATTGAAGTATTCTACTATTATAAGATCTTTATAACTATAAGATCCTATTACTTAAATCATAATATTATATTCTTTTATGTTCTTATAAAATTTTATTTATTTATTTTTATTTATTATCTATTTCAAGCAATTTAAGATAAACAAAAGGTTTATTAGAATTATTGTAAAATTTTTTGAATATTCTAATAATGTTTAAATTATTTTTAATATAAATAAAACTAAAGTCTTATATAAAACAAATTGCAATAAAATCAGATAAGTAAATATTTGATCATTTAAGCTAAAAGAAGCTAATGTAGTTAGAAAATTAATTAATTTAGCTAATAATAATTTGATAAAGCTTTTACTTATTTATAGCTATACTCTATATATAAATATAGATAATTTTTAGTGACATTTTAGAATTATTATTCCTTAAAATATAGGTATAAATTGATTATAAAACATTGTAAAAAAATTATAATATTTTAATATTTAGTAGTTATAAAAAGATAAAATAAAGTTTATTAAATTTGTTATATTAAGATGTATCTAATAATAGTATTTTAAAACTTTTAAAATTAATAATTATAATATATATTAATTTTTCAATTTTTCAATTTTTTAAAATAACTTATTATTTAATAATTATAAGAAAATACAAAAATATAAAAACTCTTTTCACCAAAATTTTTGACCAAATGTCTCCAATAACTAGAAGATAAAGTACGTATAGAAAAAACCTAAATCTTACAATAAAACTACTTTGAACTTTTTAGAAATCAGTAAAAAACCTAGTACTTTATCCTCTAATAAGCACGAAAAAAACAAAAATGATGATATAGTTACTAAAATTACAAAACGACAAAAAATTAAAACTTCAAAACTCAATATTACTCTAACAGTTACAAAAACTTCAAATACCACTCAACCAAAACCAAATACTATGCAATCTACTCTACTACTTTCTAAAATAACTTTATTTTTGAAGACTCTGAAGTCTACGAAATGGAAATAGATTCTGCTAAAAAAACTCTATTCTCTTCACTACAAGGATCTAATACAGATGATTCTATATATACAAAGAACACAACAAATAACACTAGTCAATTTTTATCTATATCTTTCACTGATAAAGGAAAGAACAAACAATTCTTTTAGGCTAACTAAGTTGAAAATAATATAAACGATTTTGACTAATCACGTAATACTAACACGAAAGATACTACTTTTAATATTATTACCTCACTAACATGTTTTTTACATCTGATAATGCTAC